CCAAAAAATAGGGTGGCTTCTGGTGGAATGGCAGAGAGTTTTACATGTCTTATGTCTCACTCTTCATCAAGACTGAAAATGGGATAAAATCTTTTCAAACACTTCTGAGTTACCCCATCTCTGTAAAAAGCTGAGAATAATCCAACCCTCGGGGCCTCCTGGGGAATCCAGGTGGGTCAGGGCATCTCTGGGTGGGGTTTGGAGGGCTCAGATTAAGGCTCAAGGAGGTGCTGGGAGGTTGGGCAGCGCAGGAGCCTCACTGGAGAAGGTGCAAACACAACTCCCTTCACCCCCAAGGCCTTGGAGAGGGGAGTTCTGCTCCCTGAGGAGGAGCAGCAGGGGCTGGGCTCAGGTTTGGGCACCCAGAGCTTGGCTCCAGTGTGAAAATCAAGACCCAGGGCAGGGGGAAGGTGCCCAACCCTGCTGGATCCATCACAGGAGTGATGGGAAGTGCCTCCCACGAGGCCTTTGGTGCCTCTTGCTGGGCTGATGGGAGCAGAGAATTCCTGAGGCTGGGTCCATCCCATCCCATCCCATCCCATCCCATCCCATCCCATCCCATCCCATCCCATCCCATCCCAATGGGATTGGCCATGTCCTCCCCCAGGCAGCACTCACCATCAAAGGCAGCCATGCTCTCCTCGCTCTGCAGCTCCTGGTGGGTCACCAGAAGGGCCTGTCTGAACTTCAGGTTGGTTTCCCTGTGAGCAGGAGCCAAGGAAAGGAAAATAAAACAACCCTGTGGGGTGACAGAGCCATTCATCCTCCTGTCAGGCTCACGGGACAGGGACAGCCATTAATTATCAGCTAATTACACAAGTGGTGGCAGTGACATGCCAGAGAGGGACCTGTTGTGCCACACGTAAAAGAAGAGCCCTGGCCCAGGGACTCTGCCCTTAAATCATCCTACACAGGGAGGATAGGCTGGGAGGCAGCTGGGACATGGAGACACCAGCCTTAGGTGCTCTGTAGAACCCTCAGCAAAGCTTCTGGACTCCCACTTTCCACATTTGTGGGTTAAATCTGCATTTCTGGGGTGTCTGCAGGTTTGGGTTTTGGAGGATCTCCCACATCCTGTGATTTCCACTGAGCCCTCCCAGTGCTGGGGGGTCCCCAAGACCAGGGTCTCTGGCCCTGTCCCCCTGAGACCTTGGGGTTGAAGTTGTTCTGTTCTGTTTTGGTGAGCAGCTTTTAGCTTTATATTGAGGATAAATATAGGATATATAGGATATATATGTGTGTGTGTGTGTGTGTGTATCTATCTCTCTATCTATCTACCTATCTATCTCCTATATCCTATATATATCCTATAAATATATGTATATCCTATATATATACCTCCTATATCCATCCCATATATAATCCCATATCTATCCTATATCCATCCTATATATATACATATCTCTCCTATATCCATCATATATAGATATAGATATAGATATAGATATAGATATAGATATAGATATAGATATAGATATATAGAGATATATATAGGATATATATAGATAGATATATATCCTATATATAGGGTATATGTATAGGATATAGAATTTATACTAGGATCTCTTCACAGGCTGGTGAAGACAAAACAATCCTATTCCAGCTGCAGACTCAAGGACAATCCCCTCAAACTTCAGGCCCAGAGCACAAAAAATGTGAAAAGAGGAGGGCAGGCAAGAAAGCAAGGAGGATGAAACGTCATCATTTGAAGCTGTTAATTGGATAATTAACAATACAGTTGTTGTTAACTGGACAATTAACTATTGGGCAATACTTAACTCCTATATGCAAATGGACTAAAATGTGAGTTACAAAAATGTGAGTTCTCGTGGCCAAGCCCTTTTTGCTCCCATCTTGGAGCCATCTGAGCAGAGCCACAACTGTGCCACTTCCAGAGTGTGGCCTTGGAAGGCACTGCAATAAATATCCACTTTATCCCTCTGAACTCCATCCAGCCTCTGTTCCAGCTCCTCAAGGCATCACCCCCGTGGCCAAAAGAGTTCCTGTCCCTGTCCTTATCCCTGTCCCTGTCCTGTCCTCACCCATCAATGTCCGCGGTCTCCACGTAGCACAGGCTGCTGGGCTCGGAGCTGCACAGCAGGAGCAGGTCAGCCTTGAGGAGCAGAAAAGGGGGAGAGAGCAGCAGGATGAGCCCCTGGTCCCCCCTGTCCCCAGGGCACAGCCAGCTCTGGTCCCCCTCACCGGGACGACGCTGTCCTTGCGCAGCCGCACGATGTCCCCGACGCAGATGTCGCGCCACTGACGCCAGCAGAACCTGTGGGGACACACAGGGGACAACTCTGTGTCCCTGCAGAGCTGTGGGACTGAGGGCTGGGGGTGTTTCAGCCTGTGCCTGTCCTGAATTCCTGCAGGATTTGGGTCTCCAGGTTCCTGTGGCATCTCCAGAGGGCTGAGCACTGAGGGTGGCACAGGAGCCGTGTGTCACATCCCTGTCCCCACAGTTGAAAGGGGCTCTCAGCACCCTGAGCACAGCTGGGGAAGGTTCATCTTGCAGGGACACATGTCCATGAGTTGGATCTGATGGCCTGGAGGAATTCTGTGGCCAAGGGAAGCCTCCCCCAGGACATCTCAGCAAACTGGGGCATTTCTAAACCTGCTGCCCATGCCTGGAACATCACCAATCCCACAGGAGGACCTGTGGCATGTTTTGGGAGGTGATGGGAGCTTGCAGAGCTTGGGACAGTCCCACCAAACCCTCCTCAGCTGCTCAAGGTTTCTCACTTCTCACTCAATGGGAGCACAGATGTTCTGGATGTGGCAAACACAGGCACAGCCCCAGAGCCCCTCACCTGCTCCCAGCCAGGATCTCACAGGGCCTGCTGTTGATGCTCCTGTCACTGCGGTGACGGCCCTGCACAGGACAGACAGACAGACCAAGGGGTGGCAATGGGCAATGCCAGGCTCTGGTGTCCCACAGAAACACCCCCCTGCTGCCACCACCTCCCTCCTCACCCCAGAGCCATGGGAAGGTTTGTTCTGATTAAAAAAGAGGCTGCATTCCCCTCAGATGTTTCTGGGGGCTCCAGCCCATGGTCAAGGCATTAAAGGTGACAGAAATGAGGGTTTGGACCCCAAGGGAAGCAGCCAGGGTGTGACATCTCTCCCAAGGGAAAATAAAACCATGTGTGGATGTGGTGGAGTAGGAGATCCCTCAGGCCAGCAGCCCCTGAGCCCCTCAGCCCTGCTGTTCCCCTCCCTGCCCCTGTCCCCAGGGCCACCCCTCACTCACAATGTCATCGACGAGGTCTCGCAGCCCCCGGATGATGAGGAGGCAGCTCAGGGGGAACAGCAGAGTGTACCAGGGCAGCGTGGAGATCTCAGGGAAAGTCTGGAGAACGAGGATTTTACAGCACTGGCACAGCTCCTGTCCCACCCTGGGGCTCTTGAGGTGACTGAGTGACTCCCTGGCTGGCAGGATCCATCTCAGGATCCCCAAATCAACATCTCTGCTACAGACTCTTCTTGTGATCGGTTTTCACCTCTTTTTGAGGTGTGAAATGCTCCAGGGTCTCTGAATTTGGAGGGATGAATTTCTGGTTTGGTGTGGTCAATCTGAGCTTCAGCTCCATGGGAACCAAACCCATTTTAGAGAATGAAGGAAAGATTTGGGTTGGGAGGGACCTCAAAACTCATCCCATCCCACCCCTGCCATGGCAGGGACACCTTCCACCGTCCCAGGCTGCTCCAAGCCCTGCCCAGCCTGGCCTTGGGCACTGCCAGGGATCCAGGGGCAGCCCCAGCTGCTCTGGGCACCCTGTGCCAGGNAGCCCCATGGACGTGGGAGGGGGGTTTACTCACCTGTGGCTGTTTGTTCTCATGCCCTGTGCCTGAACCTGCCAAAATAAAAATAATCCCATTAATAGAGGGCTGGCAAGAGGCTTGAAGCAGCTTCACTGGAGAGGCTCCTGCTGGAGAAAAATCCAGTGAAAAACCAAAAACCTGAGCATCTGCTCAGGGTCAGACTCTGCTGGGATATCCTCACTTTTTTGGCTTTTTGTTCAGATTTTCACCATGATTTTAATGGTAAAAATTCAGGTCTACTTTCAGCTGCATTTCCTGGAAGATTCTGCATTTGGCTGAAGCCTGCTGGGATTTGGGTGATGCTGCTCCACAGGGGTGGGATGTGCTACACCAGGCAGGGAAAATTTGGTTTATTCCTGCCTAAAAGCTTTGCCAGGGTATTTTGGCCTTCCTTTTTGCTTTCATCCGTGTCCATTTGTCTCAAGCAAATGATGCTTGTCTCAGTAAAACATGGCTTCATGTTAAAGCTTGGGCCTGCCCTGCTCATTAAATGTCACTAATTAAGCATCATGATGGCTCCCAAAGTAAGCCAAGAGCTGGAGAAAGTGCAGCAATGAGAAGAGGAAGGACTTGGCAGTTTTCAAAGCTTTATGGGGAAAACTGAGCAGAATCATTAAAAAGAATGAATTTTTAAATGTACACAAAAGGTTTAAAAAACAAAAAAAACCCAAAGAGACAAATTAAAAAGAAGCAAAATAGCAATTATGTATATTCACTCAAACTGAACAGTTTAAGTATGATGATAATTTTATAACAAAATAAAAAATAAAAACTTCTACAAATTGAAAAAAAATTAAACTACAACCTTAAGAAAACCATCATATAAAAATAAAATACACAAACATTAAATAAAAAATAAGAAATTTATATTTCTATAATTTTGAGCAAAAATTATCTTAAATTAATAAAAACTATGTTAATAAAACTATAAAAATATATATTAAAATATAATTATATAAAATAAACTAAAACTAAAATTAAAAATAAACTAAAACTAACTAAAAATTGACTGAACTAAAACTAAGCTAAAAACTAGCTAAAACTAAACCAAAAAAATTCTAATAAAACATATATAAACATAGTACAAAAACTCATTAAACAAAAATATCTACAATACAACAAAATTAAATAAATATAATAAATTTTAAAAAATCAGAATAAACCAAAATAACAACTACCTATTAAATTTAAAAATTATATATTTTCTTATAACAAAAAACTTATAACTACTCTAAACTATAACCAACTACATACTCCTTTAAAATCTCACAACCTCTAAAACTAATATTTATCTAAACAATAAATCATTCTCAACCCAACAATAATCCCATTCCATGGGATGGGGCTGGGACACCCCCCTGACACACAGGGGGCAGGGCATGGTCTCAGTCTGTCAGTGTTTTGTTTTCTTTTTTGTTCTATTGCATTTGTATTTTTAATTTTCCTAATAAAGAACTGTTATTCCTACTCCCATATCTTTGCCTGAGAGCCCCTTAATTTCAAAATTATAATAATTCGGAGAGAGGGTGTTTACATTTTCCATTTCAGGGGAGGCTCCTGCCTTCCTTAGCACACATCTGTCTGTTCAAACCCAGACACAATAATAAATGCTGCACCTGCAAAGCCCCAAAAACGTGGAGGATGATGACAAGAATTCCTACCAGCACCAATCCCGCTGTCCCAAGCACTCAGCAGGGGTGGAAAGAACCAGCTCCAGGTTCATCTGAGTCCCTACAAACCAATCCCAGCCCAGGTTACCATAGATGGTCCCGTTGACACAGCATTTCTTGAAGCTCATGATGTTCTGGGTCAGGGTGCCTGTCTTGTCTGAGAAGATGTATTGGATCTGGCCCAGCTGGTCGCTGAGGCTGGTGCTCCTGGCCTCAGCTGGGATGTCCTTGGCACCATAATACATCTCCAGATCCCAGTTGATGAAACAGCTGTTCACCAGGTAGATGAATTCAAACCTAGGGAGTGCAGGAGGAGAAAACAGGGAGAAGGAGGTGGTGTTCCTCAGAGCCCAGGGTGCTGGGGAGCTGAGACAGGAAGGGAAGGCAGGGGGACATCCCCACTGTGATCCTACTGCTCTGCTCAATGGACACAATTCCAGAGGGTTTTCATCACCCACTGGGTCCCCTCTGGATTTCTGGCCCTTCCTGATCAAATTCACAGTTCTGGAGGTCCAGTGAAGGGCCCAAAATTTGGAAACAGCTTTTTCCAACATAAATTGTGATTGTTGGCTACACAGAGCAGCTGTGCCCTTCTGCACCCCATCCCTGCTGCGTTCCATAGGAAGGCCAGGAATATCTCAGATCCTGC